AGCTTGGTGTGTGAAAGAAGGCCCCGGCTGTGTTGGCTTGAAAGAAGAATGCTTCTAACCCTTCTTTTGCACGCTGAGCTTTTTTCATGAAAGAAGGCCCTGGCTGGCACACAAATGGAGGCCCTGGGTGGGATGTGAAAAGAGGCTTTAGGCAGGGCTCAAGAGAAGCCCCGGCTGCACTGGTACAAAAGAAGGTGGTACAAAATAAGGCCCCAGCAGTACAGTAATGGTGCACAGTATGGCAGGTGTGGTGGTGGGCAGGGCGGGGCAGCAGGGGCAGTTGGGGGCAGCAGGTACACAAGCAGAAAAAAGGGCAGAGATGGAGGGGATATAGGCAGGTGGGGGGAATTCAAAAGGAGGCAGTCCCTTACTTTGCCTACGCTCAGGGCTGGGAGGGACCAAGCTGGGAATGGCTTGGATTGGGATGGGTCCTCGCCTAATGACCAGTGAGATTCAGTTAACGACAGCAACAGGGACTGCCAGGATTGCCATTGCTAAGCAATGCAGTCACGTGATGTCATGCTTTATGGCCACATCGCTTAGTCACAGAAATTCCAGTCCCAATTACCATCATTAATTGAGGACTACCTGTAGTAGCTTTAGAATCTGAGAAGGCATAGACAGGCATTGTATCATTTCACATATTGCAGTTATGCCATGCATTAACTGAATGTATAAAATGAGAGTATGTATACTTATAAATACACCAGAAAATGCAGGGACACTATGCATTGCCACTCTGGTACAGAATAACAATAGATAATCATAGATCTAAACTTGTTTTCCTACTGGCTATAAGAAGCATTATATTTGTATTATAAGCTGCCATGAACAACTCCACTAACTGTTCCAGCATTCTCTAAAGATTCCCTTCAAATGTCTCAACATCCTGTCTTAAGCAGCATGGAAAGGATGTTGTCTTCATGAAGAAACTGTATTAATAAAAATGTACATTGTTTAATTCATTTCCATCTTCATTCCATCCAATACTTAACAAATTTACATCAATAACTAATATTTTATCAAATTTATATATTGTTCATATCTAATGAAAAGTGTTTAAATTTATGCTTATTTTTAGGCCTGCCAATATAGTGTTTGTGTATCTTTGTATGGTTTAATTAAATACACTACCGCTTAGCATCATCACTGTGTCCTGTCCGGAAAGCTTAGTTAATGTTTTCTAACACATCAGGTGAAATTTTCTGACCAAATCACAACCATAACTCCTTTAATATATGCATGACATAATTCTACTTGTTGGAGTAAAAAGTTAATTCATTACTTTACTTTCTTTTCAAGGTGGGCCATAAACAGAAGTTGGAACTGGTTCCTAACAAAATCCATGTTATGAAAACTCTCAGCCTGAAACCACTTCTTTTTGGTAAGAAATAGAGGCTACTTAGAAATATATCTGTATATCCTATTCCAGGTTCTGTGTGGATCATTATAGGAACTTAGCCATCTGTCTGTCTGTCTACCATATTTATAACCTACCTGCTCCTGGTAAAACCACCACACAGTTGATTTGGTTGGTTGACATTCTGCTTAGTATTTAACACATCTCATAAGATCATCTTTTGTTTCTCTTGGTCATAGAGAGTCTGTGGTGCTCTACACAAACATTGTGTTGTGTATAACTGTCAGTCACTTTATATGTAAAAAACATGTATGTATGTTTATATTTCCCAACCTCTCTCTACTGCAGTGACTTCCAGCCTATGTTTCAGATGTGGCCTGCCAGGTTTTTCTATCAAATCTTTGAAGAGACACACTGAGACTCTGCTTTCTGTAACCTTTTAACTTCCTTTGTGTGTAAGAGAAGGTGAAGAACAATTGCTGACCTTCTCTTGCACACTGGAATATTATTCCTTTTGATTATTTACTCCCTTTCATTTATGAGAAGGAAATGAAAGAAAAAAGAAAAGAAAAAAGATCCGCTTTTGTTGAGGTCTGATCCAGTTCCACCAATTGTAGATCATTGTTTATTTTACTGAATGTAATATGGTACATCAGGAATGATTTTATTAAAAGAACTGGAAGCCACATACTCTAGATGGAGCTGGTGGCACATATAACTTGTAATAGCCACTAGGAATATACTAAAAGCACCTTTGAATGCAGTTAGATTACCTTTCTCTTTCTAATGAACAAATTTAGTTTTGCCATCATATTTATCCTATGATAGAATTCGTTGATCCTGACAACATTTTGGAAATTATTGCAAAAAACAACAAATGGACATTTTGTGGTATTTTGTGATTAGCATCTTTACTGTTAAAGATTCCATGAAAAAAAAAATTAAAGGCAATAGAGAGGTCCCGGCTCAACATGCTCACTGATAACTGAGGGCCGAGATTATATCGCATAGCCAGTTTCCAAGATTCTGCAACTTAACCCCTCGTTCCTTGCAATACTCTGAATCTTTGAGAAACTTGCTTTCTAGATTGTGAGCTGCCATAAGGTAGCTCCACATTCCTCTCTCTCTCATACACATATAGCCCAGATTTTTTAAGACACTGTACAATGGATATGTCTTTCTCCTCAGAATTTTGTGTATATTTTTTTAGAAATTAAACTTCTTCCTGTACAGCCTTGCATCTAGACACAGTTAAAAACTATACACAGTTAAAAACAGACTAAAATCTTATTTTTTTAAACTCTTCTCCAAAGGTTTTTAAAACATGATTTCCCTATTCCTGCCTAAGGTCATTTCCTCACTAGTGATTGACAGTGTCTTTTAGTACCCAAAAGCTCTCATTACTTTACATTAGCATAGTGATGCTATAAGATCTATAAATCATAGAATTGAAAGGATTACCATTTAGGTAGTCAACCACAAGCTCTCCCAACTTCAGTTGGGTAATTAAAGTCTCCCATCACTAGTTTCATGCTTACTTTGAAAGATTTGCAGTTTTCTTCCAGAAGACATCATCCACATCTTCTTCTTGAAAAGGTAACTGATGACATAGCTTTTGCTAAATTCATTCACTTGGATTTATTGAAATGGAAGATATAGTGAGAAATTCTTGCTTGTTTAACCTAATAAGCTGTTTTTAAAGCGCGCACACACTGTTTTCATTGGTTTCTAAATACTTAGTATTCATAACTTGTGACTTTCGGAAAGGTTTCCTTTTAGGCATGTGCGTATGTTCATGTAAACTGCAAAATAATATTTGAGCAAAAGAAAACTAATTAAAGGCAGAAGCTTGAGAAGTAGATGATGCAGAGAAAAAAGAGAGGTCAGTAAGTGGTTCCTACTAAGCAGTTTAGGCCCAACACTTGTAATGTTTCCATCACCACACAGTAGTTTGTAGATTTCAGTTCTTTCTGTGCCATACATAAGGGTTATTTACCATTGCAGGACTGTCATTTTGCATCTTGCCAGTGACAACATAGACCCCCATGTTGTTTCTTTCATAAAGTTGTATACCCAGGTAGCATCTAGGTTAGCCGCCGCTGGAATTTGGAGTGAATTTCAGCTCATCATTATTTGCTTTCTCAATAATTGTTTTATTGATGTGCAGAAGATGAATGCCTTCCACACATACAATCTAAAGCAGCCTCTGCTCTTAAAATTTACAGCAGTTTCTTCAGCCTGGTGCCCTCTTGATGTACTAGTACTGGTTTTACATTTTTATAAGAGACTGTTTTAAGCCAATTTGATTATGGCTACATATATATATATGCAGTAGAGATGAATGTATGAAATTGAGAAGCAATAAGACTACCAATGGAAACAATTTGGAAATGGGAGACAAAATATCTATGCAGAAATCTGAAGAGTGGCAATGGGGGAGGGAGGGAGGCATGCAGCTACAGAGAGAAGAAAAGCAAAATAATATTTTAAGTGACAGTAAGTTAAAGTGAGCAGAGAAAGATCCTGACATCAGATAGCATTCTCTGGCTAGCAAGAACAACCAGCTGGTAGACTGTTGGATTGCTTCAGCCATGCTTTCATGATTGAGCAGTTTCAGAGTCTGTGTACCCAATATCATATATAAAGCCATGTTTCTTGAATTTATGTGGATCTGGAAGAAATTCAGCAGCTTGCAAAAACTCCCAGAATGTCCCAGATCTGCAGATAACTCATCATTGCTGGTATTTGCTCAGCATAATGGATGTTGGAGATATGCAATTTTCATTGATTCTTTGAATGTACTCCTCAGTGAAATAAGGTGAATTAAATTCTGCCCTCCTTTAGAAAATATAGACAGATTTCCTGGTGTGGATTATTATAATAGAGAGGCAATCTCACTAAAAATGCATTCTCATGAAGCTCCAGTTTCAGTTTTTTATTGACAGTACTTCAGTTGTTTAGACAGATGTTTTGGCTTAGACTTAACAACTGTTGAAATGAGGGCAGTCAAATTATCTTGAATGGTGCTTTCCCCAATATCTTAGAGTTCTAATTGAGTCATTATGCCTTTTTCCTGCTTAGAGATTAGTCATTTTTTAAAACCACTATTTTCCTCTCTCTTTGTTTAGGGGAAAAGCAACTTTAATTTAGAGACATTTGTTTAGTTGGAGCCATTGTTAAAGAAGCCTTGGAGTTTTGATTGCCAGACCCCTCTGAACTAGTTAGCAGAATTTGGGTGTAACCTTGGAAATTTTATTTGCACACAGAATGTAATTTGCGAACTTTGTATTCTAAGTATGCCACAGAAAATTAATTGTGGATTGTGTACATCTTATTTTGGCATGAAATTAACTTCTGTGAGCATTATCCTTGGGTATTTGTTGAAAACATTAATTGTCATCTCACTCCAGTTCAATGAAGGCCTTTTAAAACTTAACAATACATTGCTTGTTATTTTCCTCATTATAACTTTGTTTAATCAATAGATGGTAGGGGAGTTAAGGACAATGGTCCTCTAAGAGAATTGTGTTTTCTTCAATAGTACTCTTTGCTTTTTTATTTTGTGTGAAACAGGTAACAATTTCTGAGCTCTGTTGGCTTTCTATCAAATAAAAGCCTGAGTCTAAGCTTTCATCATAAACCATAGATTATTTAGTGTGATATGTTTTCCTGATTTGTTCACAGATATTTAGGCAGAGTACCTTTTTTAGGATGGGAAACTCGGAGATGTGCAGAGTCTTGACACTACTTCCTTGCCTCATAACTATGGAACATCTGGCCCCAACTCTACTTCATGACTTCATAAATCATTTTAAATATCACTAATGGGCATTTGGGCAACTTTGGTTTTTTAAATGTTCACCTTTTGATAGAAAATTTCATTTTCTTCTGCTTTCTTCCATTTAGAAATCCCAGATTTCCTGAGTGAAGATGAATGTAAATTAATTATTCATTTGGCTCAGCTGAAAGGCCTACAGAAAAGCCAGATTTTGCCCACAGAAGACTATGAAGAAGCTATGGAAATGATAGATATCAGCCAGATGGATATCTTTAATCTGCTAGATCACAACCAGGATGGACAGCTGCAACTGAAGGAGGTATTCAGAATGGAATGATTGGCTATTAACCTCATTCAGATATAACCCTGAATGAAACTATAAGAATAGGTCTGAGAGCCTTGGGCTGGTACATAGCCTCGTCTCCTCTTGCACTGTTATGATGAGAAAATTAAATGTATTTGTAACAGTTTATAATTACATTTGAACTTGGATAAACTTCACTTTGTTTTGACTACTGTTTGTCCTAACAAACCAGCTTCAATATATACTCTCCCTTTTATTTGGATAAACGATATTTAAAACCAATCATTTCCTAGTTTAAATGTAATGAAAAACTGGTTAGTTGAAAATGGAAGCATATATTTCAGTTTTCCTTTTGTGGCTATGCCAGCAGAGGACAGAAGAGGGGATGGGGAAGTATGATATCCTGGGGCTTACATCTGTAATGGAAAACAGTGGTTTAGTATTGTATCCGAATGAAGCCATACTGTATGAATATTGAGCATTCTGAAGTATGAGACTTTAAATATCTTTAATTGTATTTTGATATCCTAGTGCAGTTCTGCATGTACTGTAATTGACCAATATATGAGGACAGATCTCCAAATAAAACAAATACCTGGAGGAAATTTTCTCTCTAAAAAAATTGTGGCCTTTTGTAATATGCTGGGATCCAGTACAACCAGAAATACTCTTTAACTATGGGTGCTTCATAGATAATCTATTAATAGCATTTACCAGTTAATTTTCAAATTAGTGGATTCTACTAAAGCTTCTAATTATTGGCTTTATTGAGCTTGTTGGATCTATTTCTTGCATAGAGTAGCATAAGGTTTGTGATTCTTCATAAAACACGAACAATTCATGTGTGATTCCAAATCCACAAATAGCTGATTCACACATTCATGAACATCATTGATCAGTTGATTATATACAGCTAAACATAACTCATTTTTAATATTAACGTTGTTATGTGTGTGCACTGTATTCTGATTGCAGGTACTGACACATACCCGCCTAGGAAATGGTAGGTGGATGACACCTGAGAGCATCCGAGAGATGTATGCTGCAGTGAAAGCAGACCCAGATGGCAATGGTGAGAAAGAAGGAATGCTGTCTTTTAATATACTGTATATCATTGCTCCCTATTATTCTGCCATATTAGATTAGAACAAATATAAAAATAATATCACAGTTTAGCACATTAAGTACTAATATTAGGATCAGATCAGGTGTTAATAAAAACAGCCAAAACAGTTACAATTAACAAGAATTTCAACAAATATGAAGCAGATCATCCTTAACTTTATGGGCAATCAGACAAAATTTGGTGTTTTGAAACCTTATATTGAAAGAACCCTGAAGTTGAAATGTAGGTAAAAGGCTATGTGCAGAAATGTAGTCCATTTACAATTTCCAAATTCCAAATATGAGATTTATTTTTTAGATATGAAATTATTTTTGACATTGATGCATATTCCCAAAGTTTAATCTGTTAGTTCTTTTACTGAAAGGACTGATTTCCAATGAGAAACATAGTATATCCTAGCAGAAATAATACGATACGATACGATACAATATGGTACGCCAGCTCAGTATCCTTTGTGAAAATATAAAGTTTGGTGATACTTAACAGAAAAACAGTGGCAGAAAAAAAAAGTTATATTTAAAATTTGTTTCATTCGAAAGTGAATCATCTTCCAAAATTGCTAAGTTTTGGTCCATTGCCACCAGTTATGGAAGAACTATCCAACCCAATTGTTACATTGCTAAGTTTTTTTTTAAATACATATTATGCATATTGGTGAATCGTTTTCACCAACCTTCTCTCCCTGAAAATTCAGGTTCTGTTCTATTAGTTTAGAAATGCATTTTTCACCACAGGGAAGCAACAGAGAAGGTAAACATCCTATGTCCTACATATATCATTGATATGGATCTGTTCTGTTACCCTTACGTTTACATCCTCCTGTTCCTTTAAGGAGCTCAAGGTAGTTAGGATCACTTCTCATTCTGTCTTTACAGCTCTGTGAGGTAGGCTGGGCTGAGAGAATGTAACTGCCACCCAGTCACCACTGAGCTTCATGGTTGAGGGGGAACTTAAGGGTGCTGGAATAGGATCAAGGGAGAGCCAGGTTTATTCCAGCACCCTTAAGCACTCTGTGCCTTGGAGAACCACCACTGTTCTGGGTATTCTTTGTAGCTCTTAGAAACCTGACATCTTCACTTAAAGGTGTGCCACTTGTCCAGAATCAACTGCCACAACTGTTACATTTTCAAGGTTTTTTTTGTTTTAGCTCATAGACTTCATATGACTCTCCAGCACTCCATTTGAAGTCCTCAGCATCTTAAGATGATGGTGCTGAAATTGAACAGCAAAATAGCCAATTTTCAATTATATGGTTTTTTATTTCTGTTTTTGTTTTCAGAAATGACAATGAAAATGAAAGTATGAGGCCTCCAGGAAGCAAACTATTCCCATTTCCATACTTTACACTATACCTGCAAGAAATATTCTAAAATTACCATGCTGCTGTCAAAATCCAATAGCATGATTACAGTCATTTAGGAGTAGGGCTGAGAGATTTTCAGTATGGAAATGGGAATGGTTTCTTCTTCCCATTCCCACCCCAAACATTAGAACAAAAAACAAAAAAATCTTGAAAATGTACAGTTGTAGCAGTTGTTTCTGGACAAGCGGCACACCTTTAAGCAAAGATGTCATGCTTGCTACTACAGTATATACTAAGGGGTGGGGTAGTAAACTTATCCAGAGGTGCCTGCGGGGAGGGTGTCATAAAAGTCAAAATATCAGCCACACATGGCAAAAGGGGTAAGGCTTTGATCACACAGTGACAATCACCATCTTGACTTTTTAAACACTTCTACCCCAATAGATACCCCTGGCTTTAGGTGCTGACTGCTGTTCAAAAGCCAGAGAATAATTCTTCTCTGTGATATTTTGTCTTCAATTTCTTGACTTTTAGATTTTTACTTGCGTTCTCTTCTGTTAATTTCTGCCCTTCCCCCGCTTTTTGTTTGCTAGGACTGTTTCTTTTATTTATTATATTTAGAAAGTCATTCCTACCCATTAATAGCCCCTCCCCTCCATCTATGCTATAGCTGCCCAGTTAAAGTAATCTCATAGCGATCGCCAGAGGATTGTTGGCCCATGTGGTTCTGATGTTGCACACCCTCTTGCAGCATGTTTACACTGATCAGTCTGCGGCCTGACATAGGCATGTATGTTCTTTTCCTTCATTTTACTCAGGTGTTCTGAGTTTGGAAGAGTTTAAACAATTGAACATTCGAGACTTCCACAAGTATATGGGTAGCCGAAAGGTGAAAATGAGTGATCTGGTGCGGAACAGCCAACATACGTGGCTGTACCAAGGTGAGGGGGCACATCAAGTCATGCGCTCCATACGGCAAAGGTAAATTTATCTCACTCAGCAATTTTTGCCAATTAGCCTTGCTGTTGGTTTGCTGATCAGTTTTGCCAAGATTTATAAACCAATGCAATATAAGGAATTAATTCAACTACTTTTATTAGCTGCCAGATGTATTATTGCAAAGCACTAGAAATCTAAATGGCATTTTGTTTAGTCAGTGGTATATAAAAATGTGGGGAATTGTACTTGCTGAAAAACAAAGGCAAAAACAAAGGCAAAGAATCTTGAATTTCGAAAGGATAGTTTTAATCAGATCTGGTCACTGTTTATAAACAGAGTTTTCCTAATAGATTTTGCTAGTTAAAATGCCTTTCTGGGTAATAATGTTCAATATGGATCCAGAAGATGTGTGCATTTCTCTTGATTACATAGATATTCAGTGAATTATATATACATATACACACATATGTATCCTCCCATGTTTTGATAATTTTAATTTTAATTTTGCATTTTCTTTTATCTTTGTTTTGTATATTTCAATTAAAAAAAATTAAAAGCTTTGGAAAGAGGATCCCATAATTACTCAGCTGAAGCAGAGAAAGAGACTGATTAGCCCTTGCAGCTCTTTTGCTCAGTTTTATTAAATCTCAGCTGAATTAAATGAGTTTTAGATGATTTTGATATTACCATTTAATATTTACACCGGGAGTCTCAAACTCAAATTAATATCAAGCCACATAACATAAAATGCAGAAATTGGTGGGCTGCATTTATGCACATGCAAAAATGCAACAAATATTAAATATTAATATTATTAATAAAATGATGATTAAATTAATACAATAATTACAATAATTTAAAAATAATTGGCATTAATAAAAGCAAAAATATATTGCCTAGAGTAAATCAGTAAAACATTATTTTATTATTGATTGATTGATCGATCACGTTTGTATAGCCGCCCATCTCACATATCTTATATCGTTGTGGCTTCAATCTCCAAACTACTGTACCTGTTGTCCCACACCTCACTGTTGTGTTGTTCTGCACACTCACCAGCACCAACTAGCATGGGCAAATGGCGATGTCACTAGCAGTGACCCCTCTGCCCGCATGCATGGCCATCTCACACAAGCGCAGTACCCGTGCGCAAGACAAGGCAACAAGGCAGGACAGGCTCCAGGCGTGCCTTAAATGTTTGAACCATCACAGACTACATAAAAGAATTCAACAGCTGCATGCAACCTACGAGCCACATGTTTGAAACCCCCAATTTATGCTTTACTCTTTTGAAGATACTGTAAGAACATGTTTACTAACAAATTTATGTTGACTTGCTGTAGCACTCACTGACCCACCCCTCCCCCCCGGGGTATCTGATTCCCTCACCAGCACCATATGAAAAAGATGCAGCCAAAACTTAAAACAGAATTAGTGCCAGGCTAGAAAGTCCTGCATATGTTCAGTATGATTTGCTCTTATTTTAAAAATAACAGTTGTGAGGTGGATCAGAATCACTTTGTCAGAAAATTTTCTTGCTATAGCTCTGCTGCAGATCCTCTTCATCTCAGACTGATATTTGTCCTGATATTCTTACAGAATGGCTGGATAGTGCTAAGCATGCTAATTGAAAAGACAGTGTGTTTAGAATTGCAACATGAATGTGCTGAAACATCCCTCTCTGTTATTTTTTCCATGTTTCTTTCTGAATAGTTTAGATGCTTAATTATTTCTTCATGAGCTTTTATGTTCCATTTGTGTATTAGGCAAGATTTTTTTGTACAGTATTTTGTATTTTGGTATGCTCCTTTTTTTGTATGGGAATGGCTGCAGATGATCAAGGCCAGCATTATGAGCAGAATTTTTTTGAAATAACTCTGCCTCCACCAGTACAACTCTTTTCAAATGAATATTAAAAAGCCCTTTACAAATGCTCTAAGTAATCCTGATGGTATGGTACTGACTAGGGAATCCCAGTGGCTTGATGGGAATATTTGTGGGTGTCTGGAGAGTTCCCTCTTTCCTTCTATTGGCACGCCTCTCTGCTTGTCCTTCCTCAGGGTGATTCACTTAACCCATCTGCCGCCAGAGATCGTAGAACACAGCGAACCGATGCAGGTGGTCCGCTATGACCAGGGAGGGCATTACCATGCTCATATGGATAGTGGACCGGTGTTCCCTGAAACTGCCTGTAGTCACACCAAACTGATTGCCAATGAAACTGCTCCATTTGAGACGTCTTGCCGGTAAGCCTAGAAAGTGAAGACAAAATGGATTTCCTGGCTATCTTGCAACAGTGATTGCCTATTGTTTTTGGGATAGTAAGTATTGTTCTGTTTCTTACAGCTACGTGACAATACTGTTTTACTTAAATAACGTGACAGGAGGAGGTGAAACTACTTTTCCTATTGCAGATAACAGGACATATGAAGAGTTGGTAGGTTTGTCTTTCCTGTACTGTAGGTATTGGTTGTTTCTATAAAACATTAATTATTCATTTGATTTATATCTCATCTTTCTACTCAATTAAGTTCTTAAAGAAAAAACAAAAGTAAAATTCAAAATGCAGAATAAAAAGCTCAAATTAAAACAATGGCTAACATTAATTAACATCCAAGCCATTGTCTTATGTGCCAGATAGGGGACAACTTCAAAAAAGCCTCTCCTGTAAAACATAAAGGTCAGACAGATTGGTAATGGGAAAGGAACTCCTTAGATAATCAAGCCCTAAGCATTTTAGTGCTTTAAAAGTGAATGCCGTAGCTGTAAATGACACTTGGTAATTGCGGATCTTTCAGTACAAGAATAGCAGATTAGCTCCAGTATTTTACAGCAAATGCAACTGGCAGATGCTTTTTAAGAGTAACCCTTTGTAGAGAGTATTGCAAAAAAGAAGATAGATAAATGTTGCCAAATGAGTTGGCTCAGGAACAAAAGCAGCTGGTCCACTGCCATAATTGTGTAGTTCCACTTCTCATCACAGCCATCAGTTGCTATCAAAAAGCACCCCTGGGACAGACTTGTGTTTTCAAAGACTGTGCAACTGAGCACCTTCATACAGATAGTAAGCAGCATGGGAACAAGACGGAACCCTACCAGACAGCACAGGTCAGTTGCCTAGGTGTTGAATGAGAGACCCATATGATTACTTTCCGAACATGGCCTAATAGGAAGGAATAGAACCACTATTAATCCCATAGAGGAGTAGTATGGTTGATGATATTGAAAGCCACTGCAATACTCAAGGGAACCCATAGGTCTATACCCTCCCATCAGATTTCCAGAATAGATTGTCCACTAAAGCAATCAAGGCAATCTTAGTACCATATCCCAGCCAGAAGCCTGTTTGAAATGCAATAGATAATCATATAATAAATATGCATTTGAATTCAATGTCTTTTTCAGTCACTTTTCCTAGAAATTAAATGTTTAAAATTCACCTTATCTCCCAGATCAAGAAAGTTTTTTCAACCTTCTACTGCTTCTTTAGGCAGGGGGGAACATATTTACCCATAAGGATTGTCCCAGGGCAGTTTACAACAGACTAAAATCACACAAAAGTCATACAGTTTTAAACTAACCTTAAGTTGGAATTCCAATAGTTACTAGGAATTCTCCACTGGACATTGGAGGTCTTACTCTGAGTAAACATACAAAAATAGGGCCCTGGAAATCAATTGTTTAAATTTTATTTGAGAGTGTTCTGAAGCAAGACGCTTAGCTTACATTTCTTGTAATAAGAAAAAAAAAGCTGCTGGCCAATAAATTAAGAAATCTTTTTATTTAGTTAAAAAGTTTTAATTGCTAAACTGATTAAACACTGGGGACCTAGTTAAAATATTAGGAGACATTTATTGCTGGTTTCATAAATATGGAGCTTTTTAATATATATATGTAGTACTGTGCAAAAGTTTAGGCAGGTGTAAAAAATGCTGTAAAGTAAGAATGCTTTCAAAAATATATATTGTAATT